GCAAAGCACCAACAGGTACCAGTTGGACCGACATCAGCGAAGGGGGCGCGGCCAATCCCGAGCGCCGACCCCAGCTAATGGCGCGGCAAATTTGAAGTGCATTTCCAAAGAACATAACATATTCGCAACGACGCCTCCACTGGAAACCGACAAACTAGTGTCCCCCATAGCCTCTAAAGCGAGACGCGAGATACGAGGGGGAAGGCAAGCGCGCGAGGAAGCAGGGGAAAAGGCGTTTCCCGGGCCCGAAGTTATTCGCACCAAGCATTGGTGGCCAGATTCAATTAGATTGCGCAGGATTGTTCGGGCATGCAGCTTCCCGACAAGGGACTTGCACGCTCTGCGTCAGCCCCGATCCAAGAGGCATGGGAGGCCAGGCCAGACTGGGCTATCATTTCAAAAAATACAACAGGTGTGGGCGTCAGTCGTTGTATCAAGAATGCCCCATGGAGTTCACCCTGTGGACTGAAACAGACTGGGACGGATGTCAGAAGAGACGTCAACCACCAAGCGGAGGAATAGTTCTGGCGGGATCTTAGTTGATAAGACTGCGGGTTTCGACCCATAGCGTCGTGGCATTATCTTCGGGATAAACAGAGTATGACGGAGTGGTGACAGGTGGACCGCTGGCGTTAGGACTAAAAGCAGTTTTCATAGATGTCGATGTTGATTACAGTGTCGCGTCGAAGGGTGATGATAGCGCGGCCATTGCTATTGCGAGCCGGCGGCGGCTAGGCAACGACATGCGCATCGAGGTTGGCCAACATGGGTGGCAAGAGTGGGCACGTCGAGGTGACATCTAATGGATCAAAGCTGGAACCCATGAGGATATCGCAGACGTCCCGCCCAAACATGTCGGCAAGGACCGCATTCCCAGGCACGCGCGAGGCACCAACCGAAGCATTCTCCACGGGAGTCACGAGCTGGCGCCCGCTACGGAGCCATAGGCCAATCAATCCTCGGGTCAGCATCGCGTGCCGCCATGGCGAAGACTGGGGCTCAGGATCAGTTGTGATCCAGGTGCCCGTTTGCGTACAATTCAGAATATTATTCCCGCCACGTCACCCGGTATCCCGCGACACCTCGACATCGTGTGTCGCGTTCTGGGAGGCCTTTTGCGAGTTTATACCAAAAGCATCGTCGCCCTCTACCTGCACCAGGTACACATTCAAGTACCTCACGCATCTAGATTCGCCACGGGGCGTCCCACAGCTCCTGCCATCGCAGTAGTAAATGTGTACGGTCGTATTTTTCACATGCCTATGTGAATCATGTTGGTTTGCCATATCCATTTCATTTGGTCTGAGTTCTTTACGCTTCGTTTCGTTCTACCAGCGCGGCCGTGGGGTGGTGTTGGAACATGGCCACTCGACTGGGTGATATGCATTGCCACGCGTCCCTGTCGCCATTTGGCTCAAGTGCTATTTGCCTTCCCAGCAAAAGGCTCCTACTACTTGTATTTACCTAACAGCGAAGACTGATCGGTTTCTAGTGGGGTCAAAAGAAAGCATCATGACTCCCCAGGGGGGGTTGGGCAGATGCCGGACGGGTGCCGCGGAAAACCGGGGCATTTTTTTTAGCTAGGTGTAACGCACTTCGTGGTCTTCGAGTTCCCAGAACTCCATTCCTGGGCATGAGTCTGAATGCCCGGAGCCAACTGTAGGCCGTTTCGTGGTCTTCGGGATCCCAGAACTCCACTTCTGGGAACTATTTTGACTGCCCGGAGCCAACTGTAGGCCACTTCGTGGTCTTCGAGTTCCCAGAACTCCATTCTTGGGCATGGTTTCGAATGCCCGGAGCCAATTGTACGCCACTTCGTGGTCTTCGAGTTCCCAGAACTCCATTCCTGGGTATGATTTTCAAGCCCAGAGCCAACTGTAGGCCACTTCGTGTTCTTCGAGTTCCCGGAACTCCACTCCCGGGCCACATTTTGAATACTGAGGCAGGCTGATGCTGAGGCTGAGGCATGCTAATGCTGCGGCAGGCTGAGGCTGAGGCTGAGGCTGAAGGCAGACAGGGGCTGAGGCTGAAGCAGGCTGAGGCTGAGGCTGAGGCAGGCTGAGGCTGAGGCTGAGGCAGGCTGAGGCTGAGGCAGGCTGAGGCTGTGGCTGAGGCTGATGCAGCTGAGGCTGAGGCCCAGGCTGAAGGCTGAGGCTGAGGCTGAAGCAGGCTGAGGCTGAGGCTGAGGCTGAGGAAGGCTGAGGCTGAGGCTGAGGCAGGCTGATGCTGAGGCAGACTGAGGCTGAGGCTGAGGCCGATGCAGGCTGAGGCTGAGGCAGGCTGAGGCTGAGGCCGAGGCTGAAGGCAGACTGAGGCTGAGGCTGAAGTAGGCTGAGGCTGAGGCTGAGGCAGGCTGAGGCTGAGGCTGAGGCAGGCTGATGCTGAGGCAGGCTGAGGCTGAGGCTGAGGCTGATGCAGGCTGAGGCTGAGGCCGAGGCTGAAGGCAGATTGAGGCTGAGGCTGAAGCAGGCTGACGCTGAGGCTGAGGCAGGCTGAGGCTGAGGCTGAGGCAGGCTGATGCTGAGGCTGAGGCTGAGGCTGAGGCTGAGGCTGATGCAGGCTGAGGCTGAGGCAGCCTCAGGCTGATGCCGAGGCTGAAGGCAGACTGAGGCTGAGGCTGAAGCAGGCTGAGGCTGAGGCTGAGGCAGGCTGAGGCTGAGGCTGAGGCAGGCTGATGCTGAGGCAGGCTGAGGCTGAGGCTGAGGCTGATGCAGGCTGAGGCTGAGGCAGGCGGAGGCTGAGGCCGAGGCTGAGGCAGACTGAGGAGGCTGAAGGCTGAGGCTGAGGCTGAGGCTGAGGCTGAGGCTGAGGCAGGCTGAGGCTGAGGCTGAGGCTGAGGCTGAGGCTGAGGGCTGAGGCTGAGGCTGAGGCAGGCTGAGGCTGAGGCAGGCTGAGGCTGAGGCTGAGGCTGATGCAGGCTGAGGCTGAGGCAGGCTGAGGCTGAGGCCGAGGCTGAAGGCAGACTGAGGCTGAGGCTGAAGCAGGCTGAGGCTGAGGCTGAGGCAGGCTGAGGCTGAGGCTGAGGCTGAGGCTGAGGCTGAGGCTGAGGCTGAGGCTGAGGCTGAGGCAGGCTGAGGAGGCTGAGGCTGAGGAGGCTGAGGCTGAGGCTGAGGCAGGCTGAGGCTGAGGCCGAGGCTGAAGGCAGACTGAGGCTGAGGCTGAGGAGGCTGAGGCTGAGGCTGAGGCAGGCTGAGGCTGAGGCTGAGGCTGATGCAGGCTGAGGCTGAGGCAGGCTGAGGCTGAGGCCGAGGCTGAAGGCAGACTGAGGCTGAGGCTGAGGCAGGCTGAGGCTGAGGCTGAGGCAGGCTGAGGCTGAGGCAGGCTGAGGCTGAGGCTGAGGCAGGCTGAGGCTGAGGCTGTGACTGCGACTGCCGTTGCCACTGCGACTGTCATCGCGAATGCGACTACGACTGCGAGAACAGCAGAATTCTACAACTGGATTCTCATCTGAATCTGAATGGGAATGCTTCCAGATATGCTCCCACACATCGCTGTTAGGATGCTTTTCTGGGATAAGTTCGGGTGGAGGAGGAGGGTGAGAAGGCAGGGAGGAACAGGCGGTAATCGGGGGGAGAGGGGAAGCAGGAGGAGAAGGAGGAAGTAAAGGAATAAGAGGAGGACGAGGAGGAGGAGGAGGAGGAGGAGGAGGAGGAGGAGGAGGGGGAGGAGGAGGAGGAGGAGGAGGGGGAGGAGGAGGAAGAGGAGGAGGAGGAGGGGGAGGAGGAGGAGGAGGAGGAGGAACAACGGGATTATCCAGAAGAGTGGGGCCTGCCGATGTCAGCAGTCGGTGCACCGCGTTTGGCATGTTTCGCCCCACCTCGCTGTGCCGACGCCGCCCGGAGGCGCACGTCTTGGCGGCTGGGCCCCGTCGCGACACCGCCCTGCGTTGATGGCTGGGTGAGCCCACGCTCACGCCGCGCCTTTGTGGCTGGCTTCACCGCGCGGGTTTGGCTCAAGAGCGCTGCGGCTCCAACGCCCGCACTCACGAGGGAGCGCGCGCGAGCGCCGCGTGCAAACCGAGATCGTGTGGGGATAGGTTGTTCCAGAGCGTTCCAGAGCGCCTTCGGATGTTCCTTTAGCACCCTGGGAGGCCGCTGCGCTCGACACGTCCTCCAGGTCCGCCGCATCTCAGAGATCCCCGAATCTGTCCTGGTCCGATGTGTCCCGGTCTTGGTTTGCTCTCACACGAGTTCCCCATCTTCGACGGCTTGGGGGCCATGTTGAGCCGTTGCAAGGATCTCCAGGGCCCTGCGAGGATTTTGGAGAGCCGGGCCAGATGGGTTTACTTCTAGGGTCCCCGAGCACGCCTCATCGCCGTCCGTCTGCGCGTGTTCTGTTTCGCTCAGGAGGGCCTGCGCCCTGCGAAGCACGCGCCGCGGCGGGCTCGAGAAACTCCTGGGAATATGCTCAAGATCCACAGCAGGTGCATGCCGCTAGCCCCCAGTGCCGATTTTGGTTCCCGTTCCTGCGGCTGGCCTCGTCCGTGCAGATCAGCCACAGTTGGGGGAGCTGTGGTCCCGACGCCCCCGTTCGGCGCCCCTTTCGAGGAGTCGTCGACACGATGGCTTCCCCCAGAGGGGGTGAGGATCGGCGGCGCGTCGCAGGGGGGAAGCGACAAGGAACGGGCCTTCTCAGAGGGTGGCGGGGCCTCTCAGCAGCCCTCCCGCCTCCTGACAGGTGTCCCGCGCCTTCGGGACAGGTTTCGGAAACCTCTCAGAAGGCCAGAGCCTCCCGAGCCTTCTGAGGAGGCCCCGCCCCTTCCCACTTCCCTCCAAGGGTCGCCGCCGAAAGGAGCACATCTCCCCCAGCCGTGGTCGGCCTCGCCCCCGTCGGCGGCACGCCCTGGAGGGCCCAGCATCACCCGCCGCACGGGTCTCCGCCGGAGAGCGGCGCCCTCGGCCCCTGGCGCTCCCGCGGGGCTCGCGGGCGGGGCCGAGCGCTGGCCGCGAGGTGCCTCCTCGGCCTTCTGCGTTCGCCCCCCACTTCCGCGGGCGCGTGAGGTCACGGTGGACGGAGGCCCGCCCATGTACTGTTCGGTCCGGCTGGAGGCCAGCCGCGCCCGCAGCGCAGGTTGCAACACTTCTCTCCCTTTCTCTCTCTCTATCTCTCTTTCTCGTTGTCTCTATGTCTCTCTCTCTCTCTGTTTCTCTCTCTCTCTCTCTCTCTCTCGGTGTCTGCCTTTTTAACTTTGTTGTTCTCTCGCTCTCTCTCTCTCTCTCTCTCTCTCCTTCGATCTACTCATATACATACACACACATATATACACATATCACATATACATATACACATGTGCACTGTCACATATGCACATATACAGATATAACGATATGTATGTAGTATAACAGTTCCTCTCGCATCCTCCCCCTCACTGCCGTAAGACTTCCTCTCTCTCTCTCTATGTCGCTTTCTCTCTCTCCCTGCAGCCCTCCTTCCCTCTCGCTCTCCCTGTCTCTCTCCCTCTCTCTCTCGTACCCCTCTCTCTCTCTCGGAAGGGGGCCCTCGCGGCCCGAACGGTTGCTGAATTTCTCCATGGGAAGACCAGGCCCTCCCTTGGCGCACAGGCGTTGCCTACTCCGCTCCTCCATGGGAGGACATAGCCAGCTGGCGGTAGGTGTACCTCAGCTGGCCGCGGAAGCGGCAGGGCCACTTCTCCAGCACCGTTTCCGAAGAGGTGTCTCTTGAAAGTGGAAGCGGTAAAGAAACGGCGGCTGGGAAAGGCGCACAAGACGCTCGGGGAGGATTGAGGCTGGAACTGGAGCTGGCAAAGAAACGGCGACGGCACTGGGAACAGAAAGGCGCCTGATCCCCAGGGCTTCCTTCTGAGCCCGTTTGGCGGTTGACCCCGTTCGGCCGCCGAGTGGGCTCGATCTTGAGTCTGTTATGCGGCCTGACGGGCTCAGGCGCCTAGCGGGATCAGAAGGGTACCCTGTTCTGTGCCTCCCAGATGGGGTCGGAGGAGGTGGGGTCGTAGAATCGCGCCGCATCGCCGATGCATCGCCGATGCGGCTCGATGCGCAGATCGATATTCTCCACGCTGACGTCGCCGAGGCATCGCCGACGTCGCCGATGCATCGCCGGTGCATCACCGATGCATCGCCGATGCATCGCCGATGTGTCGGCGATGCGGCGCGATCCTCCGACCCCATCTCCTCCGACCCCATCCAGGAGGCTCCTACAAGAAATGGAAGAACGGAAACGGCAAAGAAAAGGCTTTATCATTTCTAGGGCCATCTAAGCTGGCTACATCTCTCCTCCATGATAGGGCACCTTTGGCGTTCTCGATGGATCTCCGTGCTTCGGGAGCGGACACTTCGTTGCCTGAGCGCGCTCTGAGGCGCGTCAGAGGGTGGCACATCAAAACATGTGGCCGACCGTTTGCAATATGGACCTCGCGGAAGCTGAACTCAGCGGGAGCGTTTTCTTTTCGGCAAGACGATTCGGGTTTGGGCTGCATTTTGCAGCGATTTTCTCTCTCGCTCCTCCCTTTCGTCCTCCACCTCCTGCTGCTGCTGGTCCTCGTCGTCGTCCTCCTCGTCCTCGCTGCATTCGTCTAGTTTGACTGTTCTTGCTGCTGCCTTTTGCGGTTCGTCATTGCTTTCTCCAACTCTTTGATTGCTGCGCATCTGTCAGGCTTGCCAATCCTCCCCCGCCCAATCGGTGTCCACTTCTGGCACGTCTTGTCACTCCCGCCCTACTCCGCTCGCCGACGATGCTGCCGCCGCTCCCCAACTCCTTCAACTGCAGCTGATCCTGTTTCTGCTGCTGCAGCTTCTCGCCGTGCTCGTCATTCTGCTCCTCCTCCTCCTTCATGCTCTCCTAACGCCCACCTGCAGGTCTTAAGCGAAGACTCTGGCTTCCTGAAGAACTTGAAAGAGAAGGCTCGGGTGGTGAAGGACGCCGTCGCGTAGCTCAAGGGAGCGAGGAAGCTTGCAATGATGGTGGATCTGTATATTGGCGTCGCTATCGTGTTTCGGTCTGGAACATGCTTTCTGTCTTGATCGCGCAGGCCTGCGCATCCGTTCGTGCGGCCACTTTCTGATTTAAGTTGGTGCCCCGATGTGTTCCCTCGCTGCCGCGAGCGTTCTTTCTCTGCAGTGGCGGTCGGAACGTTTCCCTTGGCTCTCCTTCCTCCTCCTTTCCCCTCCTCCTTCTTGGGTCCTCCTCCTTTGGGGATAGGCTAGTGCATGCCGTGCCTGAGCACCTGGATAGGCTATCCAGTCGGCTCCACCGTCGCCACCGGATTGGGATCGCGGCCGGCGATCGGCGATCGTGATTTTGCCTCCTCACTCTCTTTCCTCCTCCTTTGGCCCGGGATGGACTTTTTTTACAGAATGGCGGCAGAGGGCAGGACGTTCGTGTAAGCCTCATCCTCTACTTTCGCTTTGAAGAGAATGGGCAACAGATGTGGGAGGGGGCTTGTATGGTCCCCCAAGGGCCCCATTGGGACGAGAAGAAAACGTAGGCAAGGAGGATGTTGAGGAGGAAGAGAGGTCAAATAGGGAGGGTGATTATCATGATGAGGAGGAATAGGAGAGGCGAGGAGGAAGAGGAGGAGGAGAAGTCAGGAGGATGGAGTAAGAAGAGGAGCGAGGAGTGATGACGATTAGTACGGTTCAGGAGGAGGGGACGGGGGGGTCCGAAAGGATGAGCAAAATCAAGAACGAAAAAAGGAGGAAGCGGAGGAGGCCGAGGATTGGAGGATGACGTGGAGGCGGAGGCATACGGAATGGTCATGGTGGGGGAAAGCAAGTCATAGCGTGACATAGCATTGCATAGGACGGACCACGAGCGAGTGGCGCCTACACCAATACAATAAGAGGAGCTCTATGAGTCGAGGATGTGAACAACACAACGGGGGCCGCGTAGTGTGCACATCAATCAATCACCCATTCTGAGGTCAATGTAATGTGCCAAGTGGCTTTGGGGAGAGTGATGTCGACGGGGATTACACAAGGCAAGATAACTAGGACGAGGCAGAGAAATACGTGCGCCAGGCATGCGCGCAATCTCCAATGTGGTTCACACAACGGGAGCAGTACCTGCAACAACGGCAGGTTGAGAGCTTCTCCCCCAATCAGTGCTTGCATTGAACGAGTCTTCCCGGATGTTGTGTATGGACCTGGCCAAAGTCTCGGCCCAATTCCGGTTGGTGGTTGGATTCTTTGGTTCCCGAGATTATGTTTCAATTTCTCCCTCCCCCATTGTTTCACCACGAGTCTTGCGCCCCGCCATGCCTGTCTAGCAGACAAACGCGCGAAGCGCGCACGTGGTTTCAATATATGTGCATGGACTGGATTGCTATGATCACGCGTGTTGCGCCACTATGTATACCCACACGTGCAGGTGATGGGTGCACGTGCACACGCACATCTCTCATGCACGCAGCCATGCACACGCACGTGGGCATACTGGGCGGCTCTCCTCGACCTCCGCCCCCTCCCCTCCGCACCAGTGAGACCTCAGCTGCCGCCCACGCCGCCCCTCTGCCAGGCACCCCGGCGGCTCCCCTGCAGTCCGGCGGGCCTCCGCCCGTCGTGTCTGGCCACGCCGCGAGCGGCGCCGTGCGCGGTCGCCCTGCCGAGGGAATGGTCGGCGGCGGCTTACGGTCGGCCCGGATTAGCAGGTCGACCCTGCCAACTCGAGGGTACCTCTGTGTCCTGTGTCTCGCGGCCCGTGCCTCCTGCATTCCTATGGCGATGTGGCCCCCAGGCGGGTCTTTTGTCCTCTCGCGTGTCCTGTCCGATGAAGTCAGACTGTAAGAAGGACGCCGAGGGTGGGCCAGGCCGGGGTCCGCTGCGGCCGGCGGCTGCCGGCACGCCCCCTGAAGGGGGCGGCCGCCGAAACGCGACGGAGCGCGGGGCTGGCGCACGCTCTTCTTGAGCGCCGGCCAGGGCCAGGGAGAACAACAAAAGAAATGGCTGGGGGGAATCTCATGTCCGTCCTCAACCACAGCGCCGCCTGGGGCCCCCGACGGAGGCTACTGGGTGGGAGGCCAGTGCTCTGAGGAGCAGCCTCGGCAGCATCCTCGAGCCGCCCTGCCCGTTCGGGGGGCGGGGGGTCGGAGGGGCGCCCGGGAGGCTCCGGTGCTCGACCGGGGGCCCCGTGATCCGGGGGGCGCCCCCTTCTGAGCCCAGGTCGCCCGCGGGGGCGCGAGGCCCACCGCGCTTCGCGCGTCGCGGCCTGGGCCGGGCAGCTGCCCTTTCTCGGGGAGATCCGCGGGGCGCGCATCGCGGGGCGCGATGCGCAAAGTGAGATGGCCTAGATGATCGGATCCGATTCGACGGAATCTTCTCCCTGCCACTCTTCTGCTGGTATCACCGTCGGTGCCACTGGCCCTCTTTCGGTAGGGCATCGCCCGCGGATCCGCTGTGGTGCCAGTCCCGGGGCTCAGGTGGGGAGAGGGGACGGATGGACGGTGGCAGGGGACTTTCACATACTTCTCGAAGACTGGCAGTGCTCTGGATTCGCCGCGCTCTGTTGTCTTCGCGACGGAGCGGAACGTTCAACTGCTCCAGTCGCAGCTAGGCGCCACCATGCTCGACCGTGGCTGCATCGGGCACCTCTGGGTGGCCGCCTCGACCAAGGATTACCCCCCCCATCTGTGCCCTCTTCTGGCCCTGGGCGACCAGGCGGGTGCCGCGACGAGGGCGCATCTTGCCCCCAGTCGGGCCCCGGCGGAGATTAGCCGTGCCCTCACTTGGGGTCTGCTTCCTCCTTACCCTTTTCCTCCTCCTCCTTTGCCACTACACGGGGCTCCACCCCGACGATGAGGACCACCCGAACTCCGCCAACGAGATCAGGGCGTCCTTCTTCCAAACGGACTCCTTCAGCAAGAACGCAGCGGCCGTCGCCGCCTTTCGTCGTGACCTGAGGCTCCCACCGTGCCTCGTCGGCGGGCGGGGCCGCGCATGCGCTGATGACAAGAGATGAGCGCCTCCCTCAGCTCGTCGGTCGCCCCTCCTCCTCCTTCACCAGGCTGCTGAAGCAGACCTGCTCGTAGTCAAGGTCGTCAATTGGCAGTGGTATGCCGACTGCTGGGCCGACCCAGCCAGCGCTTCCAGGCGCAATCGACGGCACGTCCTATCCCATGGACAAGGGCTCCCTCTACAGACACGTCCGCCGACCTTGGGGAAACGACCGAGGCGCACGCAGCCCGACGACTCTCAATCGTCCACCGCAAAGCCAGTGCGCAGGCCAAGGCAGCAGCTTGGGGACAACTGGGCAGAACAGCCTGGACCAACGACCGCAGAATCGATAATAAAGATCGCCGCCCACGACGTGCGAACAACAACTCCAGCAGAGGCCGAAAACGCCACAGGCCGCATCCATGTCCGAACACCAGCGCAGCCTCTACTCCGACATTTTCGGCTCCACCATCTTGAAACGCCTCCAAGCATGGTGCCCGACGGGTGGCCGCACCATTTGTTCTGCCCGACCTCTTACTTCAGGCTCCGGACGCTCCCACGCTCGACCACGCCACCGACGACTCCCGTCGCGCGTCCCAACAGCTTCGTACTACGGAGGAGGTGCTTGCCCACTGGGCCGGCGACTGGATCCCCGACGCGTACCTGAACGACGATGGACCGACGCTGCGACGGGAAGGAATGGTGCGAAGCGTACATTCTCGAATTCTCAAACGACCAGCATGCATAATATTGTACAACGGTGGTGGCGATTTCTTCTTCAGAGACTTGGCTCGCAGAGTGCGTCGAGACGCTTGGCATGGCAGTGACAGCGCCAGGCAGCAACGGGCCCAGTTGTTTCAACAACTGCGCATGCCAACAGACGTTCGCCAATTTCTGGAAGGCGCGAAGTTGAGCACTATGCCCTATGCCCGACGACAGCTGATCCGACGCCTTGACGAGGTCAACGACGACAGCGGCACCGCTGTTTCGAAAGAATCCACCCGACGGTGGGACGACGAGGAGTACAACGGCCTCGCGTCCATGCTCCAGCTGCCGCTCACGATCCAACGCAAATGGGTCAAAGCTCGATCCACGATCGCCAAAATGCCTCCATCGCGACTCTGGCGATGTGCGCGGGAGGGTGGCCAACTGCATTCAGAATGTATGTATAGCCGTTGAGGCACCTTTGCGTCTTCCATTGCCCCGCAAAAGCCGACGACCAGGCCCACTACATGATTTGCAGCCGAGCTTGGCACCACGTCGCGTTGTCTCGTGGCATCCTGGTGCCCGACCTGCTGACGCGCATGGGCTTGGGAGCACGCGACTACAGCGTATCGGATGAACGCAACAGCCTCAACGCGGTCATTCGTCCTGCCGTGATGCTCCGGGCATACTGCATGAAAAGCGGCCACCTGCAGTACGACTGCGCCGCGGTTCGGAGCAGTTCCGTCGACGTGTTGCGCCCCATTTGTGTGCACCTGTGCTCGGAAGCTGGGCGAGGGCTGCTAAAACCGTGGCTGCTAAAACGGCCCTCCCGGAAGGAAAAAACAACTTCCCGGAATGAGGCGCGGCACGCGAAACAGTCAACGGGCTTCTTCCCAGAAGGACGAAGACAACTTCCCGGAGGTTGATTTTAGCAGCCACGGATTCAGCAGCCCTTGCCCGGCTTCCGATGTGCACCTACCGCATCACTTCCAGCTGCTACGAGCACAACCTCAACCTCTTGAAGGCATCCTGCGCCGCGCGGAGGCTGGGCCCGTGCATGCACGGCGGCGCGTCGGCGCCCAGGTAACGCACCGGCCCCGCAGAGGGACGTGCGCTCCACTTCCTCCTCCTCCTCCTTCTCCTCCTCCTCCTTCTCCTCCTCCTCCTCCTCCTCCTCCTCCTCCGTCTCGTCCTCCTCCTCTTCCTCCTCCTCCTAGTTTTCCTCCTCCTCCTAGCTTTCCTCCTCCTCCTCTGCGTTCTCCTCCTCCTCGTCCTCCTCCTCTTCCTCTTCCTTTTTGTTCCGCTCCCTTCCCCTCCCCATCCACGCCCCCACTTGGGACTTGACAGCCGTAATGAAGCCGCAACCCCCCGCAAGCGCGGCAAGCAGTGAAGGGCTTCCTTCGGTTGGAGAACCAGAGCAAAAGCCCACCGAAAGCAGCGAGTCGTGCGCAAAACAGCGCTGGAAGGTCAAGGCTGCCGCCCGCTGCTGGCGCCGATGTGATTCAGCGCGCCTGGCCCCTGCGCGACCCGGCGCCGCCCTTTCCGCGGGGATCAGCCCGGGGAGTTCCTGGGGCCCCCCGATTGTGCATTGTCAGACCTTCCGCCGCGATAGGGCGCCCGCTGCGGACGCCGAGCTTCGTTGAACCATGCGCTCCGGGGCTACCCGGAGCTTCAGCCTGTGCTGTGGAGGGGCCTTTGCGGCGAAGGGCCCCGGACCCTCCGAGCCCTGAGCACCCCTGGCCACCCTCCTCCCGCGCTTCGTCCGCCGGCCTCGAGCTTCGAGCTACTCTTGTCCCTGGCTGGAGCGAGGCCCTCATTCCCTCTTGCTCCCTCACTGTCCCTGTCTGTAGCTAAAGATGTATGTGCATGTGTATATGCATTTTGAATGACAATGTGTATATGTGTATGACTATTCCTCCTCCTCCTCCTCCTCCTCCTCCTCCTCTTTCTCCTCCTGTCCTCCTCCTCCTCCTCCTCCTCCTCCTTATCCTCCTCTTCACCTTCCTTCTTTCACTCCTCTGCTTCCATCCTCCCACGTCGGCGCGGGGACTGCGTGCCAGAGCAGAGACCTGCAGCAGAGAGGGGAGCCGCGCGCGTTGTGGGGCCCTCGCACAGGACACGCTGCTGGAGGACGAGGGAAAGTGGCCCCCCCGGCTGCGGGCCAAAGCCCTTGCAGGAGGAGTTGCATAGGGAAATAAGTTCGATCTTGATGACGATGGTGATGATGCTGATGATGGTGACGGTGATGTTGCTGGTGATGGTGATGTTGATAATGTTGGTGATGATGATTGGTACTATCATGGTGATTGTGATGGTGATGAATATGAGGGTGACGGTGAGGATGACGATGGTGATGGTCATGATTATGGTGATGGTGATGACGAGGATGTCGATGATGATGCTGACAATGATAATGGTAATATGTGTGATGATGCTGATAATGATGATGATATGATGATGATAATGATGACGGTGGTGATGATGATGGTGATGGTGATCGTGATGGTGATAGTGATGATGATGATGCTGATGGTGATGGTGATAGTGGTGATGGTGGTGATGTTGGTGATGGTGGTGATGGTGGTTATGATGATGGTGAGGAGGAGGAGGAGAATGATGCCGACGAGGATGGTGAGGAGGATAAGGTTGAGAAGCTTAATGATGAGGAGGGGGGGCATGCGGCAGGAGGAGAGGGGGATGGCAGCGCGAGGGTCAGGGGGGAAGAGGATGAGGAGGACGAGGAGGAGGAGGAGGAGGAGGAGGAGGAGGAGGAGCAGCAGGAGCAGACGCTCGTGCCTTTCGCCTCTTCCTCCTACCCCTCCGCCTCCTCCTTCCCCTTTCCCTCCTTTCTTTCCTCCTCCTCCTCCTTCTTCATCCACTCCCCATCTCTGATCCTCCTGATACTCCTCCCCGCTCCCCCTCATCCTCCTCCTCGCCTCAGTGCCCTCCTGCCACAGCGTCGGAGCGTCTGGGGAAGATATCTGTATGGCGGGCGTCGGGGGAGGGGACATGCGTCCACACCGCCTCTTGTTATGTGGGCAAACTCGGCTTGAGGCTTTCTTGTGCTGGGTTGACCTGACCGTTGATCCTCCTTCTCCTGACCCTGTCTCTTCCTCTTCCCCTTTCCCCCCCCCGCCTCCCGTTCCTCCTTCCCCCGAAACATTCCTCCTCCCTCCTGCTATCCCCCTCTTCCATCCTTACCCTTCTTACTCTCCTCCTGCTCCTCCTCCGCCTCTGAGGCACGGAAACACAGATCCGAGGCGAGGGGTTATTCATAACCATCCCTCGGAAGATCGATAGTCGGGGACCTCGGCATGCAGTGGGTATTGATATGTTCCAGCCCCCTGGTCCCCAAATGAATACATGACCACCCCCCGCCTGGGTCATAGAGCGGTCGATCTCCAGGCGGGGGATCTGGTTATGTCCCCGCCTCGCTGCAGAGGCTCGTGCGGCCTCGCAGGTGGAAGCGCACGCTGCAGCCAGAGTACGGCCTCTTTTCCATGGACAAGCTGTCCCAGTTCGAGGAGGACCGCGGTACCAATCTCCCGTTTCTCCTCCCCCTCTCTCGTCCTCATTCCGCTCCCGGTTTCTCCATGACCTCCCTCCCCGTGGTGTTGTTGGTAAGCATGCCACGCGTTTCCTCACCACGCTTGCCAGAGCGTGCTCGGTCTCTCTATATATTTCTCTTTCTCTCTCTCTCTCTCTCCCTCTAACTGGGTATTATTCCGTGTGTTTCCTCTCTCTCTCTCTATAGCTCACACGCGTTCTCTCTCTCTCTCTCTCTATATATATATATATATATACATAGGTGTCGCTACATGTTAGATGTTTGATTTTTTTTTTCTCTCTCTCTCTCTCTCTCTCCCTGTCTCTCGCTCTGTATGTGCCACACGCATGCACTCTCTCTCTCTCTCTTGTGTTTTGTTGTTTCTCTCTATCCCTCTCTCACTTGTCGCCTCTTTATCCAGTATCTCTCGCTCTCTCTCTCTCTCTCTCTCTCTCTGCTTGCCTCTTCCCCTCTTCCCCGCACTCTCAGTTATTTGTATGACAAGGTAGCGTCGAGCCAGAGACCTGGCATACGTACGAGTTTTACGTTCGAGCATCGGCCATGCTCCCTTTAGTTGTATGCCTCAGAGGGCTTTAGAAGCCCCCCCCCAGGGGCGAACATCGGCGCCTGTCCTGTCCTGTCCTGTCCTGCTTTGGATGGGGTTCGTAAACAGTTGAGCCTCCAGCTGTTAAGCGCCCGCGACGAGACCTCGCTCGATGCTGCCAGGGGGTCGTCCGTGTTGTTTCAGCTGGTTATCCAGAGTGGCGAAGCTCCGTCTGCGCCTGCTCCCTCGAGTATGGCCGTTTGTGGTGAGCTCGTGGCTCAGCGCGTGCCAATCTTCTCTGACCGTATGGCCACGTCTGTCCGCTGCTTCAACGAGCTGTGCGTACCTGCTCCGCTGCCAGTCCCATAGGTACAGCCAGTTCCGAGTTTATCATTTTTCAATTCAGCGGTTTAGTAGGGGTTGCTGGTGACCCAGCCTCACGTGGGCAAGCGGCTCGAACATCATGGCGATCATGCCAGCATATCAGTTCATTGTGCCAGGATACCGTTCGCCAGAACAGACACCCGCAGAAGAATCCGTAGTTGTGTTGGTACAAGTCTGGACGAAGCCATTGTGGTTCACAGCCTTTCGTTTCAAGCACTGGCGGCTGAATGGGAACACGCGGACGTATCCGCCTTAATGCGCCTCTGGGCATTGCTGCATTTCTTCCTGCTGGTTACCCAGCTGCCTGCGGCAGGTTTCCGCCACCATGTCAGCTCAGCACTCCCGGTGGCGATACTTCGAGGGGCGCGGACGGGGCTGTGAGGTGTGGCACCTCGTGCCCCCAGGCGTGGGGGAGCCGTGTCACGTGGCACGCTCTTCCGCGCCGTTTGGGTGTGCCCCCTCGGCAACGGTTGGGCACAGTCCTGGGGGTCCGTTGGCTCCACGTTCCTCCTGCCCCACCTGGTCGCCGTGTCTCTTCACTCCTCCCGTCCTGTCCTCTGTGTGGCGACGGTTGGAGCAACGCATCGGGAGGCCTTACGAACACGTGGCGTGTCGGCCGCGTTGGGCTTGTTTCGGGGTGGGGCCGAGCACGCCAATGATTCTGATGAGGGAGAGGAGGAGGAACACCAGGACGTAACATTTGACACTTGTTATCCCGAGGCCCCGAGGGACATGAGGAGGAGGAGGAGGTGGAAGAGGAAGGCGGTACCATGCGATGTCTCTTGGTGCAAGGATTTCTCGTAGCCGTAAACGTTTACCTCTCGATCGCCGTCAACTGTTCGCTGCGTGGCGAGAGTTGGAGCAACGCCTGGAAGGTCGTAACATGTGGCGCCTTGGTCTTTGGCGAGCTGCTATGTGAGGCCGCCCAGGGGCCGAGTAGAAGGATGCGAAACATGATAATCAGGGGGAGGCGGAAGAGGACGGACGTGGCATGCGACATTTCATACCCAAAGATTTCAGAAACGCGTAAACGGTTACATACCGAGCTGCTGAATAGCTGGCATCAGTGATTGTTGGAGAAGTTCGAGCCCCACCAGACCGCAAGATGTAACACGTGTCATGGATGTTCCTGGAAAGGTTCTACGTGCGATTGATAGGTTCGCCGTTTCTGGGCTGTTGTTTGTTGCGGTGACGTTGGCTTGGGATGTGGCCGGGAGATCACGAGTACGATGCAGATTCTGATGATGAGGGGGAATCGTAGGGCCGTAGCATGTTGCACATCTTGTGGTTTTCACAATGTGGTTTTCGCCTCAGCGCCGCGCGCATTCGTTTTAAACATGTGCAAGGGTTTCTCGGATTGAGGGCGGGTCGTTTTCAAAATGTTGCTCTCGCTTTAGCGCCGCGCACATGTGTTTTAAACATTTGCAAGAGTTTCACGGATTGAGGGCGGGTCGTTTTCAAAATGTGGTTCTCGCCCTAGCGCCGCGCACATTCGTTTTAAACATTTGCAAGAGTTTCACGGATTGAGGGCGGGTCGTTTTCAACATGTGGTTCTCGCCCTAGCGCCGCGCACACCCGCGCTTTCAAATTGCAAAGGTTTCACGGGTTCCCATGACCGACGTGCCAGAAAAGGTGTTTTGGAAGGATTCGCGACTATGAGGGCGCAACGGTTACGATGATTCGCAATGCTGAAGTCTCAGGAATGTCTGGCACGATTCAGGATCGTCAAGACGCAACAGTCAGGTTTATTCGTGGCGTTGGAATCCCGAGAGCAATGTTTTGGCATGCTACAGGGTCTTCCAATTATTGTCTTCCAGCGAGGCAGGACCCTCTGTGGAAATGAGCCTTTGTAGGGGCCTATGCAAAGGGAGCTTGGGGGGAGGGTTTATTCCAACATCGTTGGTGACCCTGGGTTTACACTGGTCCTCCTCCTCCTCCTCCTCCTCCTCCTCCTCCTCCTCCTCCCTCTCCTCCCCCCCCTTTCAGGCGTGTGTTAGACTGGAGGAGCCTAGCCAATGGAGGGGAGGATGTTACTGGGACATCTGGAACGGAACGGCTGACCTAGCTATTCCAGCCCATGCATGTTCAGTTATGGTATCACCGCACCTAGGCAAAAGATATCGTACGTTGCTCCGTACGCCTATTGTACTGGCTTTGCCACACGCAGCCAGAGACACAATATGGGGGCATCTCTGGACGGGATGTGGATCTTGCAACCTTGGCCCTGCGCAGCTTCCAGAACATAGCTTCAGGCAAGCAGCAATCAGCAGTATTTATCATGGTGGACGCTGTGCAGGCGTTCTACAAAGCCATCCGGCAATTGCTCATGGCAACAAGTCTCACGTACGATGAGCTGGCGCAAGTATTGCAGGCAGCTAATCTTCCCCCAGCTGCCATGCATAACATCATGGATAACTTGCAGGGGCAGGATGGGGCGTTGGAGCGAGCTGGGGTTTCACAGCACGTACGCGCACTAACAGCCACATCATATCATAATGCTTGGTTTTATTACGCGGGGGCCACACAACTAGCCTTCCCCATACTGGGATCTATCCCAGGACAGCAACTAGGATACGTCATTTGTAATTGTGTTATGGCTGAATGCGTCAACAACGCAGTTGCAGACATCGTGGCGAAAGGGGTGGAGCTCCAGGTCCCCACCAGAGTTGTGGTTTCGATTTCACAGTTGCTGGACGGGGGAGCCAACCAAACAAATACAGCGCTGTATATCAATTTCTTCGGCGACGGAGCGTTCGTCATCATTGGTAGGGCGGAGCATGTGCTCCAGCAGGCGGCCAACATCAGCAGCATAGTGACCGATGCGTTCACTTTGCACGTCATGCGCATTAACATGAGGAAAGGAACGTCGGACTGTCTCCTTCAACTCAGGGGGAAGGCATCGGACAAAGCCAGGATGCAGCTATGGAATGCGCAGCAGGGAATTATCCTTCTGGACATTGAAACACTCGGCCATGTGCAATTAAACGCTACAAGACAATACCCTCATCTAGGTACCATCTTACATGAGAGATCTTCTCTTGGCCCAGAAATATCTCACATACATCGAGCGACTGCAGCTGCGTGGCACTTTCTTCGTCGGCGCATTTACTACACCATGGGAAGAGCAAGGAAGGACCAGAAATCGAAGCTCCATTTTTTGGGACTCACTGGCCACATCATCACGGCTGTGTAATGCAGGGACGTGAGGTGGAGTGACGGAAGCACAGCTACATACGCTCTCAGCCAGCATCATGTCTAAATGCAGGGTTGCCGCCAGCCTTCCGATATATGACGGCAGCACATGCACGGATGTTCATGTATTGGATAATGTCCATAGGGCCGATATTGCTACGCAGTTACGCACTCACCGTCTCAGAGTATTCGGACGTTTGGTCCACTTTGGTCCAGATGCTCTCAAGGGTTTGGTTGCGCTTGCGTGTCAGGTGGGCTCCCAAGCATGGCTCCGACAGGTTTGCGAAGAAAGGACGTGGCTCCAACACGGTGTGCTCCGACATGAAGGGTTTACCTGACCCAAGCCATGAGCTACAGTTTTGGGAGAAGTGGGTGCATTCATCGCCACCTGCCTGGAGAAGAAGGCTACGAAGGGCGTTGGAAGCGCATGTTCGAGGAGCCACTGACTGGCGACGGTTGTGGATGCCGAACGATTATGTTTTTCAGTTGGTACGGCCACGTGGCGCCCCACTCCCTATCACCCACCCCGACCACCCACTACGTGAGCAGGAGGAGGAGGATAGAGGTGAGGATGGTCTGGCTAAGTGCCCGTGGTGCTCCAGGGGGCTCCTCAAGCGCAAGGGGCTTCAACACCACATTGTCCGACAACATTTTGCCTTTCTTCGTTATGTTGAATCCATCATGGGCGCATCCAGCACATGCTGTGTTTGCGCCACGGAGTTCTCACAAAGGCGAAAAGGTGCGATATCACTTGGCTTTCAACTCTGCGAGGTGCTGTCTGGCCTTTTTCTTTTTTCGCGCGGCGCGCAGGCGCCGTATGATGTTGTTCGTACTTGGTTTCCGATGGCGCAGCTGAAGTGGTACCCAAGCGACGCGCAGGCTTGGGTCGGTGGAGGTCCGACTTTCCTGCCGCCCCTCATGTCCCCCCTGACGGCCTCATATGGGGCTCCAACTGGGTGTTCGCCACATTTAGCGAGCAGCTGGCCCGTGAGGTCATTGTGGGCTCCATGCGTGAGCACTCCGAGGCCTCCAATCAGTACATCATGAATAAGCCGCCAGGTGACCCCCACAGGCCCCGCACAGTGATGGCCCCATGCAGGGTCGCTGGTACATATACAGGCCACAGGACTTGACCGACTTCGCAGCGCAGGCACTACCAGTGCGCATCCGACGTAGGACTATATTCATATCCAATCTTTTTCAAGTATGATAAGAGATCAGGATGTGCAGGTCCATATTGAAGATATGCAGGTTCTCCCCGATCATGAGTTCATTGTGCTCATCATAGACATAGCAGTACATGAAGTCAACAGAGACATGACAAGGGATGATACCATACAAGAGCGGGTAGGACACATCCTGACGATAAATGTTTGGTGCACACGGGGGTGGGGGGCATGTGAGACGTGGAGTGCTGCACGTTGGTTGGAGGCCTCCCCCCATTACGTACTAATGACTACGTTTGGGGTGTACCTTGGGCAACGGGAAAAAAAACATAGACAACTACGTATTGGCAGCCAACTGTTGTATGAAATGATTCATATCATGGGAGCGCATCTTGGGGCGGGCACTGCTGCGTGTATGGAACATCCTGCGCCGCCTGTCCGGAGAAGAGAGGCTCCCATTTCCTTCATGTGGCCGCCTGCTCGTGCGCTCATGTCTGCCCCATGTTCTACGACAGTGGATTTCGATCAGTGCTGTTTCCAGGAAGGTGATCCCAGTGCGTTTGGTAAGGTACCTACTAGAATCATTGCGATACGTATGCCAACATTGCTTGCTCAGCTCACAGCGCAACTTCATGGCATATGTCCGTATCCCCGTATGCCTCACCCAGTCTTGAGGGGAAAAACGGAGCAAGCAGTATTCCGCACATCGCAGAACAAAAATACGTACCCACCACTCATGTGCAGAGCTCTAGCCAACAGTCTTGCTGATGCTTGCGTCAAGTTTTTGTAGCATGATCTCGACTTTGAGTATGATGATGACGGGGAACCATCGGAGGAACGTAATCAATTGCCACTACTACGGGCGCAGTGGAACCCAGACAAACCACACATAATGGCACCCGACTGTGCAAAAGATAGAGACTCGAGGCCGAGGTATGATGAGCCTGAGAAGTGGGATGTTTTTGCCCGTGCCCTTCTTCCTCCTTCCCCTCCGCCGTCTCCGCCGCTGCCGTCGCCGCCGCCATCTCCCCCCCGCTAGAGTGTTCGGCTGACGTGGCGGAGGCAGGTGCCTTCCTCCTAGGGCAGGATAGGCCCACGGAGGTGGCGCCCACGGAGGCGGCCCCCAAGGAGGACCGCGCCCTTTCTGTGTTTGTGCCCCCCCCCTCCCCTCAGCCCCCGCCCTCCCCTCCGCCTCCCCCTCCTCCACAGGTGGAGCTCTCTGCAGAGCAGAAGGCCAGGATTGCGGCCAACCGCGGTGCAGCCCGAGAGAGACGCCTTCAGCGCATAGCGCCTTGGAGGGGACTAGTTGAATACAGGTTTTGATTATTTGTTCGGTTTTTCACGGTGCTTCCGAGGTGAAGCCTTGTGGGCTAGATGAGCACAGTTGTACCGCTTAAGCCAACGTGCGCCACCGCCTCCTCTCCCTCCTCCTCCTCCTCCTCCTCCTCCTCCTCCTCCTCCTCCTGCTCCTTTTCTGTCATCTCTCTCCCTGTCCCCTCCTCATCTCTCTTCCCTCTCTCTTCTTTCTTCACCTTTCCTCCTCCTCAGCCTCCTTATCGAGCAATGGGAGACACCGGGTCCGACCCCTCTTTGCTTCTTGACTGTGCCCGGCGCGCCCTCCGCACCCCGCGCCCCGCCGCTTTCCCGACCGCGGGCGCGTTCGGCCGCGGCGGCGGCGCCCAGGAGTGCAGCCAGCGCTGCTCCCAGGAGAGCGCCGGGGCCTCCAGGCTCCGCGGGGCCGCGCTCTGCCGGCCCCGACCCGAGCAGTGGCAGGGCGTCCTGGCTTGCCTATCTCCGGGCCGCCCGCGTGGGGTCCGAGCAGAGGGGGTCGGAGAAGCGCGCCGCATCGCCGATGCGTCGCCGATGCGGCGCAATGTGAAGCCCGATTTGCTCCGCGCCGGCGGCGCCGATACATCGCCGACGTCGCCGGTGCATCGCCAATGCATCGGCGATGTATCGCCGATGTATCGCCGATGCATCGCCGATGCGGCGCCGACTTTCCGACCCCGTCTACTCGGACCCCATTTGGGAGGCCCTTATGATAGGCCTACCAAAGCAGGTTCTAATAACCTCTTGTGGTCTCACGAGGTGGTCATAGAACATTTACGGTTGTTACTCGGACATGCTTTTTGTTCAGAGATAATGTTGCTTCAGGCCTGTAGGAATCCTGGGACTGAGGGTCGGTTGTTGCTCGACCGACACCCCTGCGCCGTGACAAAAATCACAGCGGCGTTTTTAGGGGCCATTTATCCCCATTTGGGCAGGGTGCATCGGTCCGTGGCACTAATGCCATGCCACTGGAATGGGGATCGGTTCTTCTACAATGCCCATCGCCCGGCCCAGAGAACGTCAACAGAAACGGCCCTGGAAGAAACGCCCGTCCCCGGGATCTCATGGAAGCAGCGCTGTGAACACTCACCCCGTTGGGTGCCTGCGGCCGCGCACGGTGCGCGCCATGCTTGTCGCCACCTCGACCACACCTAATGAGTGGCCCCTCGCTGGAGTGATCCTCTGATCCATTCTAAACACATCTATCTCGTGAGAGCACATCGGTCTCAACACCCTGGCGCCGCCCACGGCGGCGCCCCAAGCTTGGGGTGTTGAAACCGCCGTGGGCGGCTCGGGGCCTGTTGAGGCCAGCTGGGGCTACTCGGGGGGCGTGTTAAGGCCAGGCGGGACCACCTGGGGGGGGGGCTGTGCACAGCCCGAAGTCTTACCACGAGCACATCATGTCTCGAGACGTTGAGAGGAGACGGAGGAGGAGGAGGAGGCGGTTTTTGCGCCCAGCACGCCCGCCAGCCAGTGCCCACCCAGGTGGACCAAAGCACGAACGCAAAAGGGACAGAGGACCGAGAGAAGGTGCAGGAGGGAATGGGGAATGCAAGGGATGAGCGGGGATGGCAGATGCGGAGCAGGCGGGGAGGAGGGGGCGCCATGACCTCGAATGTACACACGGCGCGCTATCAGGAGGGTCTGGGCCTTCCGCTGATCAGGGAACGCTGGCCGCCAGTCCAACTCATTGGGGGCGCCTGGACTCGGCGCACGTGCCCCGCCATA